ACCCCCCCCCCCCCCCCCCGCATATTTTTGATTAAATAAATGCAGAGTTGATGAGCATAAAAAAACATTAAAAATCTTGCTGGCATAATTAATTAAATGTTGTTGTTAAAAAAATATAGATTATTAGAAGTTACAAGTTGGCCTGAGTTAACACTCTGAGACTCTCTGAGGACTAAGTATAGTGCTGTTCTGGTTTCACCGTCAACATTTAGTCAGTGCCCCCACCACCAAAATCCTACCGAAAAGAAACATGGAAAGTTAATCTCAGTCCTGCAAAAAACATGAAATCCTCTCAACCCTTTGAGTCCCTGGACTTGTGGGTGGAGAGAGGATAGACTTAGTGATGTTCTGATTCATCGTCGCCACTAAAATTGATTATTTTCAGTCACGTTGGATTTTTCCAGTGCCGGTGAATGGCGGCTAGGCCCGTTTTGCTCTGCCTGGCTGCCGTGTTTACCTGAGGCTTCGATTCAGTCAACTCGACTCTGAAATACCCCTGGAGAATGATTGATTATTAACCGTGAAATAAGGTTTCATGGACTTAGTTTAACATATTGTGATTCAAATATAGCCTATGGAAGTTATGGAAGCCCGTATCTGCCATGGAATACAAGTATGTTATCAACTTTTTTTCTCACAATTCAGGCTTTGTTTTTTGTAGTTATGAACACAGAATTGCATGACAGAAGCTCAGAATTTTTTTTTTTCTCACAATTTTGAGTTTACATCTCAGAATTCTGGGTTTATATCTTAATTCTGACCCCCCCCCCACATAATTCTGCTTACATCTTGCAATTTTGACTTTTTTTTTTCTAAATTCAGAGTTTACATCTCGCAATTCATTTTTTTTTTAATAAAATAAAAAAGTGAGTAATTGCGACTTTATCTCAGTTCTGACTTTTTTTTTTTTCATGATTGCAAGTTTATATCTCACAGTTCTGACTTTTTTCTTAGAATTGACAGTTTATTTCACAACTCTGAAGTTATATTTTGCAAGTCAGAATTGTGAGAATTGTGAGAAAGCCAGGCTTCCATATTTTGACTGGTTAATTTCAGCCAGTCTAAATGGTAGCCTAATGCTACTTTATTTAGTTTTAAATTAAAAGAATGTTCAAAAAGTTCAAAATGTGCCTTCTAAGTACTGCCAACTAAACAGTTACTTTTTTCAGTGACATATTTTTTGACATTGGCGTCAAAGAGATTTGCAGAGCTGACCGGGCCTGAGACCTAACGATCTCGGAATAGTTATTTGCTTAATACTGACAATAGCTATTGGACCAACCAAGATGTCAGGGTAATTGAATAAGTGTGCAGGTCAGGTTAAGCCTTGAGTCAGCACATGGTAGTTCAGAGGTAATTTGCCTTTGGCCACAACAGAAAACGCAACAGAATTAAAGTGAAGTGAAAGTGAAGTGACATGTGGCCAAGTATGGTGACCCATACTCGGAATTAGTGCTCTGCATTTAACCCATCCAAAGGTTTTATTCCCACTGGTAAATACATAACCACATACAAACATCCTTAACCCGCTGTTCTGCTAATGCCAAGATTTCTCTCAGGGAAGAAAAACAAACCGTAAAAATGTACTGGTCCACAACCTTATTAAAAGAGTCCACCACCATTTTCTTTTTGAAGCTAATACAAATGGTTTTGACAACTACTACTTTTGTTGTTGTTGTTATTTTCTATATTTGCCAGCAGTGTTCAAAATCCAGTCATTTTATGCAAATATTGTGCAAAAAAAAAGTTACAAATCATCATACAGTATACATACACACAAAAGCTTTGGTTAGACAGAAAAAATATCAAAGCTTGTTTTTGCCTTGAGTAAAAAACAACAACAACTAATAATAATTCCGATTCTAACTGTAAGACTTTTTATCCCACAGTGGGCCTTTGTCTTTTTATTTTTTTTATCTTATCTAACAAACTTCCTTAAAAAAAAACACCCTCTGTTTGGTCAAGAAACGTGTGGTTGTGTGGGATGTACATGTGCGAGTTTATAAAGCCGGTGTAGTACACTAAACATCGGGTCTTCCCCTTGACGAGAGTGGGAAATTCCAAATATCACTGCAGAGGATGCTACGGAATGCAGAAGTAGCCTACATCTCTTAAATGACAGCGCGAGCCCTTATACGTCCGTATATCAATGTTGTGCATGAGCCTGTAGTTTTCTGTAATGTTGTGGTTCAGAGGGAAGGGTTAAAAGCCTTCATCCAGCACCGGGCCTGAGACCTAACGATCTCGGAATAGTTATTTGCTTAATACTGACAATAGCTATTGGACCAACCAAGATGTCAGGGTAATTGAATAAGTGTGCAGGTCAGGTTAAGCCTTGAGTCAGCACATGGTAGTTCAGAGGTAATTTGCCTTTGGCCACAACAGAAAACGCAACAGAATTAAAGTGAAGTGAAAGTGAAGTGACATGTGGCCAAGTATGGTGACCCATACTCGGAATTAGTGCTCTGCATTTAACCCATCCAAAGGTTTTATTCCCACTGGTAAATACATAACCACATACAAACATCCTTAACCCGCTGTTCTGCTAATGCCAAGATTTCTCTCAGGGAAGAAAAACAAACCGTAGAAATGTACGGGTCCACAACCTTATTAAAAGAGTCCACCACCATTTTCTTTTTGAAGCTAATACAAATGGTTTTGACAACTACTACTTTTGTTGTTGTTGTTATTTTCTATATTTGCCAGCAGTGTTCAAAATCCAGTCATTTTATGCAAATATTGTGCAAAAAAAAAGTTACAAATCATCATACAGTATACATACACACAAAAGCTTTGTTTAGACAGTAAAAACTATCAAAGCTTGTTTTTGCCTTGAGTAAAAAACAACAACAACTAATAATAATTCCGATTCTAACTGTAAGACTTTTTATCCCACAGTGGGCCTTTGTCTTTTTATTTTTTTTATCTTATCTAACAAACTTCCTTAAAAAAAAAACACCCTCTGTTTGGTCAAGAAACGTGTGGTTGTGTGGGATGTACATGTGCGAGTTTATAAAGCCGGTGTAGTACACTAAACATCGGGTCTTCCCCTTGACGAGAGTGGGAAATTCCAAATATCACTGCAGAGGATGCTACGGAATGCAGAAGTAGCCTACATCTCTTAAATGACAGCGCGAGCCCTTATACGTCCGTATATCAATGTTGTGCATGAGCCTGTAGTTTTCTGTAATGTTGTGGTTCAGAGGGAAGGGTTAAAAGCCTTCATCCAGCCCCTTTTTCACATGCTCTGTTTATTTCCAGAGTTGTGACGCAATGGGCCCACTCCTCCGCGCATACGTCACCTCGTCTCAGCGTCGTGATTGGCTCGTTGTTGCTGCTGCTGCTGCTGCTGGTAGAGGAGGGGGCATTACATAAGCGCTGCTCCCTTTCGATACGGTCTACTCTGCTGGAGGACAGTGACTGAGGAGGGTGGAGCCCACCTCTATGTGTCTTTTTGGACAAAACAACCCCATGTCACAGCACTGAACCGTCCTGGAACTCGTAGTACTCTCCGAATTTTTCCTGCCTCGACAAATAAATGCTCAGCATAGGCATCAGAGAAGTAAAACACGCGAAAAACAAGGATCATTTTGCAAACGGAAACAAAAGCGCATTGGCCATACAGCGCACGGAGCCTCTCAATGCATACCCTCTGTGCCCGAGGAACGATGAAACCAGAGATAAACGCCGCCGTCGGGTTTCTGTCGAGATTCCTGCGGATTAAAGGACATGTGAACGACAGACAGCTCCAGACGTTCAGCCAGACTCTACAGGACATCCTGGCAGGTAAGTATCCGTATTTACAGAAGAAATATGAACTTCGTTATATCCACTTTCTATTTATGTGTCTCGTTTGTTTGTGAAAAATGTGGAAAAACATCGATCTCTTTGTTTATAAGCTAATTTATGTGCTTGGCCACATAGGCGGAAGCGCGCGGATGCGTTGCGCACGAACATAAACAGTTGAAACCTTCAAACAGCGACCGTAAAAGAAGACAGCAAAAAGACCAAAAGATATAGATATTTATAGATGTAATCGTTTACATGATCTCGTAATTAAAAGCTCAGCTTACTGACGGGTTGTTTATGTAGTTCATAATGTAGATACATTTCATGTGGCAAGCCGTTTTTACATGAATTCCTTAAAACTAGCATTTTTTGTCATTAAAATTACGTATATCATTACGTAGTGAACGTTATCTAACTAATAAGAGTGACTGTCATTCATTAACAATTATTCCAGTAGTGATCTCTCCATTTATTAACGGGGTCATATGATGCGATTTCAAGTTTTCGTTTCTCTTAGGAGTGTTACAAGCTGTTTGTGAATGGATAAGATCCCTAAAGTTGCAAAGACTGTAGTCTCAAACCCAAAGAGGTATTCTTTATAAAAGTTAAGACTCATCCACGGCCTCCTAAAACGCGTCGTTTAAACACGCCCCCACATGTCTACGTCACGATGTGGGAAGATTTGCATAACGCCGTCCAAATGTTCACACAAAGAAAGAAGGCGTAACTTTAATAATGTTCTTTTTAGCAACATCATATGACCCCTTTAAGTCAATATTACTTATTCATAACATACTAGTATCTTCTCGATTGGTACTAGTCACTATCCCATTAACTATTTAGTTGTTATTAGTAACAAACTAGACATGTAATTCTGTTTTATATAGACTGTTTGTTAGTTTGTCTTTTATGTGTTCCTGGTGTCGCTAGTACCTTTTCTAGTACTATTACTACTGTTGGTTACTAGTGAAATTGAGAAAATATAATTAATATTAAATAGCTTGGTAGTAATTCAATTAGATACTAGTTAGTTTTATGGAATGAATGTTGAAATGGCTTGCCATATGTTGTAGGCAGTAAATTACGTAATGCACAGCAAGTCTGAATATCCAAGATATCAGATCTAGGGCTGATGTTTCATCTCTTTTGCATACGGGTAATAGTGCATGTAATGCACACTGTGCCTGTGCATCATTATAATAAACATGCAAGTACGCAGCATACTAGCAATGACTGCCACAAGTTGAATAGACAATTGAATAACGTTTCAGCTGTTTTGTTAAAATGCAATTTTCACTTAAAAAATCATTTTAATTACATCACAGGCCTTTATATTTTGTTAGTTTTCCTAACCAAATATTTAATCATATAAAAGAAAAAAGGTGCAAAGACAGAAGTGAAGTTAGTCCATTAATTATTATTCAATTGCTAGCCATAAAAATAACATGTTCTTTTAATGTTGTTGTCCTTTCCTGGTTTTGTTTCAACCACCCATAATTTTCCTGTTTTTTTTTAATGGACCAGCATTTTGTTAGGCCCTTTGTTCAGATTCAGAAAACAAAAACAATAAATTAGAATAAAAATATGTGGTTAAGCAGTTGAATAACAATCAAACATACAAGTCACCAACAAGGCAGTAATACAAGTTAATTTAGGTTCTACACAAATACACATGCCTAAAGTGTTTAAAGTCAGATGAGAAACTCTAAATGGTCAGTATGTGTGTGTGTGTGTGTGTGTGTGTGTGTGTGTG